CCTCTCACCAACGACATCCGTTGAAGAAAGAGGACAACAAGTACCTACTCCAACCGCCGCTCAGAAAGGAGGTTGCCCCTCAATTGCTCGCCGGTTGCACAGGGTCGCAGCTCCGATACCAACTGTTATGTACCTGATTGAACTTCAATCCACAACGAATTCACACGTTCCCATACACGCATGCAATTGCAGAGTAGACTCGAAGGAGGCAAATCCACACAAAACCGAAGAGAAGATATGCACACCGGAAGCTCAAACTACACAGAGAATTGAAAAACAAATTTCAATTATGTTATCCCTTGTCCTCCTCCAGTCAATCCAGAGTACTTGTTCCAAGAATCACAACCGCGTTTACAACAACCCCGTACAACCAGAAACAAGTGTTCAACGAAGTATGCAGGAGTCTTCTTCTTCCGCCTCGCCACCTCATACCCCTGGCTATGGCTGTCGTAGCAGCAGTAACCCCACAGTTGTCACAACGTGCCAATTTGAACCAGCAACCCTAATGATAACAGCACCAGCTCAGCACCTGCACGAAAGTGCAGCACTGGAACTCCTGATGAAGAAGGAGACAACCGATCCAGCATTTTGAAGAAGACAAAGTTCCTCGAGAGGAGGAACAACAGATATGGCTGCCAAGTGGAAGACGGCAGCACCCAAACCCAACAACACAGTCCTGTGGAAGATCTCATGCAGAGCTGTGAAATAGCAGCAGTGCGATGTTCAACTTCGATTCCCAACCCCAGCTATGGCTAGGCTTCGAGGAAGAAGATGACCTCGCCCAAAATAGAGCAGCAGTGCTCCAGCAACGGAAGGGCAGAGTTTTCCCAGCCAACAAAACGTGAAAAGTCCCAAACCAAATTTCTTGCCCGCTACTTCTACCCTCTGCCTAGACCTAGGAAGAACTCCAAAGGCAACAATCCAATACTCATCTGCATATAGACAGAAATAGGGCAAAAAGGGAACTTAGACCTATGACAAGGCAAAAAGAAAAGGCTAAATTGCCTAAGGCTACCAAACAGGAACTAGTAACAGGGATCAAGTCCCATAGGGCTCGAAACTTTTTTTTTTTTTTTTTTTTTTTTTT